GAATTGTACAATAAATCAGTGAATAGTGCTAGTTTATTTTGTAATATGAGTTTCTTTATATACAACTATATATGAAATGTTATTTTCAAATATAATCTTTTTGATTTATTAAATCAAATTATTTAAAATTTCAATTTTTGTGCTAATTCAAAATAATAAATTTTTATTAAAAATTAGCAACTTTCTTCTGAATGATAATTTTAATATTTATTGTATATTGAAAAAAATGCTTGTAACGCGAACGTATACAGCAAACAAATAAATCCGATTTCTTTAGACAAATCTCGAAACATGTTCGCGGAATTATCGTGGTGCAGCGGCGATCTCATAGATGATGAAAATCGCCGCCATACGAGTGCCGGCAGCCTCATCATAGAGCGAGGTGTCATTTCGAGTTCTCATGTTCGTCATCCGGCCGGAAACCGGTTCCGACCGGCTGTCCACTCGCAGTTCATTGATTCCCGATGAGAAGGCTTCTTTCTTACTTTGCCGGAGCTATAAAAGATTGCGCCTTCCTTTTGGCGTCTTATCGTATTTTAAATTCATTAATTGATCTCGTTGACTAATGAGCTGCCGCGTATCAAAGAGATAAGACACGATTCGCAAACTTATTCACAGATCGACGCTAATTTAAGTTTGAACGTCAAAAGAATCTTTACGCGGAATATATTCGCGCGATCGCAAGAAGACGAAGAGTGCTTGACTCATTTGCTGGACATTCAACCACACATTGCTACATTGCCACGACCTGGAAACCAGTCAATGACACGTTTTGCACTGATCAAAACAAAAACTAGATCACGGATCGTCAGCCGCTGAATCAAGTATGTATGTAGAACAGGATAATAATTTATTTTTATCCAATAAAATACAAGATATAATGAATATATCTTATATAAATTATAAGATTAATCATAATGTAAAAGTTAGTAGATATATTATTGGATTTCTTTGCAATATAAAATTGATTGGTCATTGAACTTATACTCACAGAAACTATTTTTAAATCCCTTTCTCTTTCCATTAAACTTCTTAAAACTTGTATCAAACTTGCAGAAGCTTTTATATTTACATATATTCTTTTCCAACAAAAGAATGTATTAATTATCGTTAATTGCTATCTATATTAAATGCTGTTTGCAGATAAAAAAGCTTTCTATCAAATATATATGTATTAGATACAACCGCAATCTGGTACCAACTGGTACACTTAGCGGAGTATTCGTAATCTGTCGCGACGACCGACAGTTGAGAAATTCTGTGTCAAGGTGCCGCATAAAAAGTGACAGCAATAGCGATTCATAGACAGGAGTTCAGATTGATAAAAAAATCTCAGCCGAGAGTTCGCTTTCGTGTCATCCTGTCACAAGGGAGCTCGTCGAAAATTGACGCATCGACAATGGGATAAGAAATAACTCCCAGAAGACGAGCGTCAGCATTTCTATGCACCATGTGCGCATTCACGTCTCCTTACAAAAAAGATATCGAGAGCGTTGAACCAAGAGCGCGTCTATACATCACACTTGACACAGAGAGACGAGTTTTAGAATCGGGGAGGAGGCACCGTCTGTGTAACGAAAAAGCTTTGAAGTCGAAGCGAAGTAAGTACGCTCGTTCGCAATTATATATGTGGGTCGCGTCTACGAAGAGACCGACCACCCACACACGAGCGAACCGGAGTCAAGAGAGTTCGCGGGATAGCCTTTTTATATATATCATTCCCCCAAAAAAATTATGAAGCAGCAAGGGACATCTATTTACAATAGAGCTCTGTATTATATCTAATATCCTGAGGTGTAATTGGACCCGCAAATTTTTAGGCTTGATTCTTATAATTATAATGCCTCTCATTACTTTAACATTAATATTCATTTCCCTCTTTCTCCCATTAATACTTCGTTGTTAATGTTGTAATATAAATATTAATACGAAGACAGTATTGCGTTAATAATGCATTTGCAAATATTAGCAGAAATGATCGCTCGATCATTCTTTCGATTCTTCTCTCGCTTCTTTCATCGCAATCGAATAAATGAAAAATTAATATATTATAAATAACTTTTACGTGTTTAAATATTAAAAAAGTGGAGCGCGAAAGTGTAGCCTCCTGCGGCAAAATCTAATATACGCACGCGGAAGCTACGCGATCGGATCCATTGGGGGTTTGTTTAGTACTACATGCGACCACGTGGTAAAATTCGGCAAAGTGACCATGCGTCGCGACGCGCCCATAAATGGCGCGGGCGATGGTCCATGATCGTAACCAACCCCACCACCACGGGTGTGCGATGGTCGAGACCAGGCTTCTCCAAAAATAGGACGACGACGACGACGTCGAGACGTCATCGACGTCGTCGTCCACGAAAAGGAGACCGACGATGCCCTCGACGTCGCGACGCGACGTATTCGTCTCGTGATATAAAACGCGCATTAGTATATACATTGTATCTCGCCTTATAATCAATCTTCGGAATGTCTTAATTTTCGTTAAACGAGTACTTTACATCGCGAGACTGACTTGAAATCCTAAAGCAGAATATTAAGAGTTCATGCGTTCATTTTTGTCGATATTCCTATATCTAATTTATTTAAAATTAATTAATAATTAATAATTGTTATTTTTAATAAAATTGAATATTAACTTGTAGAAAGAGAGAAAGAGTTTACTTCCACAAATGTGTTATTTTATTTTTAAGTAACTCGTTCAGTGAATAATTTATATTTAAGAAAAATAAGACGAAAAAAAGAATAAAATTGATAGAAAGAATTAATTTTTCTTTATATCTTCTCTCATTGTTTTATGTTAATAAAATATCTCTGTGTCGCGATAGTTTCTGCATTTCTCTTTCTGAAATTCGTACCTATTTGTTGCTTCTTCTATCTGTTGCACATCATATCAATAGATTCGAATATATACACACGTGCGTAAATCAATTTGCGAACTAATCTATGACACCTACGAAAATTCACACCGCGGCCGATCAAAGGCGTTCGCGCCTACGTGTGCCGAGCCGATCGCGCTTTAGCAAAAATCGACACGAGTTAACGCTAATGCATGTGGCGCACGAGATTGGAGGCGAGCCTATTTATAATCCAGGCAAACATCGTCCAAGAAACACGGCAGTGCCAGAAATAACAAATCTGAAGTCGTAGGTCATGCGAATACGACGAATAAGGAGATGACGCCTACTCTGACAGTCATTAGCCGATGTATTCAATTCAGATGTGCGATAGAACAAGCTCAGCTAATTGTTAAAATTTCAAAAAATGTCCTCGTCATTTTTTTCATTATTTTTCAATTAATTTTTCATTAATTGAGACAATGGCAATCAAGGTACACTGAAAAAAAATTTATTAAATTCGAATAAATATTTATTTCAATATACTGATACCTAAAAATCATTTATTTGTTTCAAATAAATTATTTATTAGGCAGTATTGAAATGTTTATTAATTTAATAATTTTTTCAGTGTATATAAATTTTCCAGTATCCAAAAATTGCTTCATATAATTTTTAGTATATAATTTTTATACAATTAAAAATAGTGAAACCTATTTCTCCTCAAATGTTCGATAATTGGTATCAGTCGATAGCAACGAGATATTTCCCATTACTTTATAAGAAAAAATCTTTAAGTATAAGGTTCCTTGCATATAAAATGTAAGGCAATCTTAATGTAAGTGAAAAGTGAATATAATTGCACGGTGATCCAATTGGATAAACAATTTCCGGTTTTGCTGATTAATCAAAGCGACATTCAGAAGAGAGAGTGAATTATAATCGATTCGTGTGGGAAGAGACGGCAGCGTTTTCGCCTGAATTGAAAAATACTGCACCGGAAGAGGTTGGGCAGCCAAGAAAGTTCCTGCTGTCCAGTCGGGCAATTGTAATGTCGACCAATTAAGCCACGGCCCACGCCTAATTTTTCTTTTCGCACCGCTCGCGAGCCCTCTTCCGCATCGATAACATCTTCTCGTCATCTTCCCGCCCCCGAATCATGTGTCGCAGATTTTTCACGTCGTACTTGCAATGTGCATGCATATACATACATGTATGTACTGCAAAACCATTGCACATTAAAAATTTAGGTCATGATGATTCGACACATAGTACCCGGAATTCAATTCATGCGATCTCGCTTGTTAAGTCATGTGACAAAAACAATTATGATCGAATGCATCTCGATCAGTTATTTATTTTCCCATAGTATTTTTAATCAATTTTTCTTAAAAAAAAAAAAAAAAAAAAAAAAAAAATAAATTATATAGAGAATCCCGAAAATTTTTTTCTCTCGTTTAATGATTTTACTGATGTTTACGTCCACGATAAAATATTGATCTAAAGATAATTCTATGAAGAATTTCGCTGCTCGTCTGTATATCTGAAATTCTGTTGCGTGCGTTCGACGCACCTTTCGCGAACGACAATCGTCTCGGATCTCATCCGTCGTGCAATTACATCGACATTATCTATTAGGCACGGTTGTTAAACCTGCGACAATGATTCTTCTTTTTCAATCACATAGTTCGCCTAGCGTAACCAACAAGACATCGAACGTTGAAAAATTATATACATGGCGTGATTCGATTCCTCGTATGGAAATATCGATGTTAATCATACATCTTTGTACACATCCAGCAAATAATTGATCAATTGTACTTGAGAAACTCTCGATTCGATAAAAATTTTAACGTAAAAATTTAATAATTTTTTTATAAGAACAGAAAGAGGACAGCGAGCGATTCGAAATTATTTTCTTTAACGAGCAGAAAGAATGGAATAAAAAATCTGATGTATCCATTCTACTAAAATTAACGTTGTATCTTACATCAGCGATTCTTCATATAAACGCCAATTTAATATCAAAAACGTACCCTGTAGCACATATTAAACAGCCGTTACACAAAACATAAAAAAAAGTTTCAGTGCCGCTACTTTTTTTATCCCATTTTTACGCTGTTGCGAAACCAGTTTCATTTATCAGAGATGCAGACTTACCACATGGCCTGAACGGACACCGGCTTGAAGATGTGCTGACGGCCACAAACACTGACCTTGAAACCCCTGTAAAATAAGAAATTCGGGAGTAAAATCTGCTCGTCTTCAATATAATCTTTAGAGATCACAATGTACGAAATAATGAAACAGACAATGATTCTTTGTTTTATAAGATGCCCTTATTTCAATATCTAATTCGTAAAGAAAATAAAAAATAATATAATAAAATAACAGAATAATATAATATAATAAAATAATATAATAAATAATACAATAAAATAATATAACAAAATAACAGAAATGACGACGAAAGAAATATTTTTGTTACTTCTTTCCTCGACTCTTGGATTTTTAAAGATATAAATCACATATACATGGCATGACACTCGAGTTTTCTAAAAAATTTCACCAGCTGCTTCCTTGACATTTTCTATTGTCTTTGCGTCTGTATAGTCGTTTTTAAATGTCAAATTATTAACGGAACAAAGAGTGGCTTAGACATCACACACTTTCACCAGAGTTCTTCTGAAAGCACTCAAGTATACAAACTTAATCTATAATTTTCTCTCAAAGCTGCGTTTACAGTTAATTACAGTTCTCTCGATGCATTTTTAACAGGCCTTAACATAGGAACGAATTAACATTTTTCTTGGTTCAACACCGAGTCTAGTTAATGAGCGGTCAAAGTCGCGATTTCGAACCGGACAGTTGCCGTTACGTTACTTCAAAACTGCAACGGTAACGCAATTCTCTCGCGATTACGACATCGAAATAGGGAATGGGAAGGAGACGCGTACAACGCACAGCCATTAATTACGTATTATGTAAATGAGATCGCGCCGCGCGAACATCGCGATTCGCCAACATTTCCAAGAAATTCTGCTCGATTCCGCGATCATCTCTTCCAGAAAGAAAACGGTACCCGCGTTTGTCATCATGTCACAAGTTATATCAAATTTTCCTCGAAGCATACTCTCCTTCATTTATATAAATAATCAAGGCAAAATTTTATGTAACTAATATATAGTAATCTGACACAATAATTGACATGTCGATCATTTTTCATTTATCATCAACATTTTGAGACTTGTTAGAAAATTTTATTTTTAAAAACTATATTATAATATAGTCATATATATTATTTTAGAAAAACTGTTCGAATAAATCCATAATACATTGTGTGTCTAAACGTATGTGTAAACTATAACAAATTTAGCTAATGCAATATAAGTATGATTCGTAAATATTTTCATCAAGGCAAAATTTTATGTAACTAATATATAGTAATCTGACACAATAATTGATACGTCGATCATTTTTCATTTATAAATGATCATCAAAATTTTGAGACTTGTTAGAAAATTTTATTTTTAAAAACTACATTATAATATAATCATATATATTATTTTAGAAAAACTGTTCGAATAAATCCATAATATATTGTGTGTCTAAACGTATATGTAAACTATAATAAATTCAGCTAATGCAATATAAGTATGAATTCGTAAATATTTTTCACTTTATAAACATTTCATTAAAAAATGTTCGAGCTAATAAATCGACCGACATCTTTTTCTCATAATTTCTACGCATAAGTCGCACAACGAGAAGTTAGCCCTGCAGTGCAATAAGGCGTACCGAAATTTGCACTTTACGCAAGCAAACGGTTCGCAATAAATTGCAGTTACGTAAGGCGGTCAAATAAGAGAAGAAAAATGGTATCAATCATCGCCGCGAGCGTTAAACGTGCAGCAGTCGCGAACAGTTACGCAAAAATGCCCCACGGTTCGGAATTTCAATACGTTGCGCACAACAAGATTCACGGACGGATCTCTTACCCTCCCGTGAGAGAAGGTATATAAAGGGGACGGGAAAAAAATGCAATCCCCCTCCGAAATTACCCGGCTCGCACCGTTATCATGCTGATCGTAAAGCGAACGCCCTCCTGCCTCTGCTTTCGGATCGTAATTCGCTTCTCTGGCCGATTACAGTTACCCTCTACGGACATTCCGACAGACGAATTTTACGGCTGGCCTTCTGCTTCCTCGAGATTGCATCGGTCAAAAATTGAACCACACGATGCAATCGAAAGAAAAAAAATGTCTCGAGAGCTTGCCTCATTTCGAGATATAGCAGCATCACATAACAAGCTCTGTATATAACACTTTCATAATAATATCATATGATTCGACATTTCCCGATTTTAAGTTATTATGTAGAGAGATTCTTGATTTCTGAAAAGCTTTTGAATTTTATTTCAGAGATGCGTGTAATAAGACTTTGACATTAAAATATTATTCCTTCGAAATATCATTAGACGAATGTAATTATCTTTATCTGAGTTTTATGTTAATTAAAAAATAAAAACTGGAGGAAAAAATATTCTTATATAATAAATCATGTGATTTATTACTGCGTGACTTTAGATAAATTTCAAAAAGTAGAATGCAACATGTGACGATTTAATCTATTTGATTGGCGCGCAGAACACTTGTGAGTCAGCTGATCCGGTTTTGCTACAAACGTCACGCCGCGTGGATTCTGATTAAGTTTATAAAATCCGTTTAAATTGTGCGTTACGGAAAATAAACGCAATCTTTCGCAATCATTCGTTATTTCGTCTAATTTTTGCTCGCCGACACATGTAATTTTCCGAATACAGTCGGCTGCACTAGCGTATATCAATAAGACACTATCATAAGGCCAGTGAACCGTAGCCGTTACGGCATTGAACATGTTAACTAACATGTTAAGTAAATTTTCTTTATATCTGCCATATATATATATGTAATTGAGAAACAGTATAGTCTAGAAAGAAACGGCAAAAGTGGCGCAAGAAGCTCGAGATTAAACAGGGTGTCCAGCAGACTTAATGAAAAAAATTTTCTGACTTTCAGATTTTCCAAGACCAGAAATTCATTTTTCCCCTGATTTTTTTTAGTATTATTTTTCCAAATATACTTAATTTGCATATATCTATATGATAAATCAATTAAATGTTAAATCATGAAATCTTTGAGATATTTTTGTCAACATTGAAAGGTTCGGAAGTTCAAACAAAAATTTAAATCAATTATACAATCTGCATTATGTACAATAATCGAAACAAACATGTCACTATAAACTATTTAAATAATCATTTTTTTTTATTTATATTATATCAAATTTTTAGTTTTGTCTCTATCAAACATATTGAAATAAAATAACACAACGATGGAAATATAAATTAACAAACACGCTGTAGATAAATCGATTTTTAACAACACAGAAAATTAGCGTGCTGGGAGTCAAGGAAAATTTTATATTTATTTAAATAAAACATTTCAAATTATTGAGATACAAATATAGAATAATGTAAAAAAAATCCATATACTTAAATAGTAAAATTTCCTTACTTTTCCGTGACAATTCCAGATTTATAAAATTCCCTGGCAATACCCGGTTTTCCAGATTTCCCTGACCGCTAGACACCCGCTGTTAAATAAGTCAAGAACTATTGCGCTTCATTCAAATCGGCCGATTGCGAAAGTGACGAAATCCACGATTCGAAAGAGAACTAGCGAGTTCTCGCGACAGTCGTATTGAGAGGAGGAGATAAAGAGACGGAAAAAGAGAGGAGCGAAGAAAGATGTAGACGAAGAAGAAAGACGACCGAGGGTCATCGACATCGTAGGAACGCGAGCTGACCGACGTTCGCGCTCATTTTCTTTTCCTATATACACGGAGGATCTCTTTTTCTCCTTTTTCCTTCGCCACGCATCTCGGCCTCGTCCGTCCGTGTCCATCCGTCCACCCTTTATCGTTAATTTCGCGAGGATCGCTCGTCCGAGAGCGGACTCTCGTCGCCCAGTCAATGTGCTTTCGCGTGGGTGGACTTTTCGCGCCCGCGACAATCGGGAAAAGCCACGAGACAAAGCGTCATCCTCTAATCACGCGAAAAACTGCACGGCTTCCCGAGACCGTTCAGACGCGATAGAGAGATCGTTTTGTTGGTACACGCCGCTGTTGACACGAAAATTCTACGGTCATTAACCCTTTATGTAACTGCGACATAACGATATATCGTATCAACTTCGTCATTTCAAATTATAAAACTGCTACTGTACTCTGCATTCTTATACGCTCGGATAAGCTATCAATAGATCATGTATTGCATATGTATATCTATGAGGAAAAATAATAATCGTTTTTCAATACAAAAATTACTGCAAGAAATAATATAAAAAATTATGTTAAAAATATATTTTCTTATCATTTTTTTCACTAAATTCCAATTATTTAAATAAGTATAAACGCATACAGTTATCTTAATTTAATTGTTTTAAATATTATTGTTCGTCAAAAAAAAACGTACCTTCAACATCCACATTCTTTGCAGTTTTATTTTATTTAAATTGATAAATATAGTATAGACTCTACTATCTTCGAAATTATCTCGAGCAATGAGCAACAACTGCATTTAAATTACTATTTCTTCATGATGAGATAATTGAACATTTAGTGAAAAATTATACAAAAATATATTTTTAACATAAATTTTGTAATTATATAATAATAATTTTTCAATTAATTGAAAGTCAATTTTAATTCACATTAAGCTTTCTACTTTCCTTTTGAATGCTTTATTATTCCAAACAAACCCATCTTTCTTTTTGAAGGTACATGATTCACATTGTGATGTTGCATTGCGACAGATGCAATAGACAATCATCGTTGAATTACAGTTTAACTTCGCGTCTCGATCTCGCAAGTTGTATCGCGACCTTCCATCGCATAACCTTGGTACTCACCTGTCAAGTACCTTGCTCCCTAACACGCGTCGCCTTACGGTAATGCGCTCCATTTCCCTACGTCCGAGAGAACGGTGGCGACCTTCGCATTTAATCTTTACGAAGGAAGTATTATATATTATGTCGATATAAATTAAAATGAAAAAGCGCAATTTATTACGCGAGAGATTTCACAATGTAAATTGTGAAAAAAATATATATTTTATCTACTCTTTTCTATCCAAATTCCTCTCAAAAGAATACCCTTCCGAACAAACTTTGGAGTTATACAGACAATACTATATGTATATTAGCAAGACTGTATTAAATATTCGATACGAATTTTTATAGGCGCACAAAGATAGATCCTGAGTCAGACGCCAGAAAAATCGAAAAAAATATTATATAATTATATAAATTAAGTTGATGTCTTCGGACAAAACCTATGCTTTGAAAACGGGAGAAAGGAAGAGAAAGCATATATGCATAAGCATTGTCTACGTGAATTGTGTTGTCTACATTGTAGTTACGGGTGAGCAGATAATATACAATACAAAGAGTCTAGACGCACACACTTACATTGTATTGCTATTTACGCCCACTGATACTCTCCTTTCATTTCATGACGCGTATGCAGCCACCATTCGGCTAATTATCAGTACAACTAATTCAGTCTGTACGTCTGGCGAGCCGTGGCAGTGAGTCATTTTAAAGTGGAGAGAATTAGACAAGTTGGCACAGTCGTTAGAAAGTAATCGAGTGCGCTAGCGTGCTTCGAAAATATTTGTTGATCGATCTAGTTGGCGAACATGAAGCGGCGCAATGTCAACGTCACGTCTGAATCATCGGAGATTTCAATCGAACCAAAATGTATTCGATCTCTATGCAAAGTATCTCAAAAGCATCGTCTTTCTATTCAGCCACTGATTTTTTTGAGATTTAATCTTAACAAAAAAAAACCTGGAAATAAACTTATTTGTATCTTAAATTATGCTTCGATATAAATCTTAAAAAAAAAGAGAGAAAAAATTGCAGACAGAAAAATTGTATAAAAATATAATTGCGAATGTATTTAATAATAAAACATTATGGAACTTTAAAATACGCGTAATATTGTATAAATATGAACATAAAATTCGAAATGGATAATAAAACCTTGTCCTCTATTAATTTTATATGGTTTTTGTGTCGAGAGAAATTTTATCTGTAAAATCTGATGTAGAAAATTAAATATTGAAAAAACGCACTAATTAATAATTTATGGTAGGATATCTGGTACAATTAAAATAAATTTTTATTCTACGTTTCTATGCTCTTAAGAGAATAAAAAATTATCTATCAATACCGTTTTAACGTTGAAAAAAATGATAGCGAGTTCTCTTCCTTATTATTAATTATAATTAGTCACATTATAATAAAAAGTTTAATAAGATACCCATGGTACAATCTGTGATAAGACCAACAATTAATGTAACTGTTATTTAATTGTCCGTAATTTCAAAGAAGGAAGACATCTGATGCTAAGGTCACCATACGGTATACATTACGTTCTGTTGCATTTGCAAATATATATTCGCACTATTCATGACGTAAATGATGACAATGTTTATCCATTCTGCAGTTATTGTACGTGTGAACATTCGATCCTGTCTTAATATAATATCCCCTTGCAGTTTTATTTCATGATATTTAAATTTAATCATAAACCAACGCGAAAACTTATAATAAAATCTAATAAAATATTTCCAACATTTTACTAACAATTAAAAAAAGTAATAATAAACTGAAAAACATTTATTATCGTCATATATAGCTATGCACCTTATCAGAGAATTATTGTCATTTCTTTCATAAATAGAGTTCAAGCAAATGAATCATCCTTGATAGAGATATAAACTAATTATTCATTATCATTACCAAATAATTTTAAACAAATGAATAAAAATAAAAGAAATACAGTAATCTGCGCGCGAATAATCACCAATCACCGAGACAAAAAAATTACAGAAAGTAGCCAGCATGAGCGTCCGCAGGAATTTTTCCCAGGGAAGAGCATGATTAAATTTTTTTTTTATTTCCTATTATATGATTCTTCCTTAATTTTTTAATATTTTTTTATTTTAATATTTTTATCCCTAATAGCACACGTATCCCGAAGACATTCAGAGAACATCCTGAGGATGTTCGAATGCCCCCTGGATATCCTTTGAATATCCTCAGAATATCTCTCGGATATGTCGTGCTCTGCTAATAGGGATATTAAATAAAATTGCAGATAAATTCCAGTGTTTATTCACAAGGAGAGTAAATGCTTAATTTTTTACCGATTCCTAGGAGAGAACCTCTTGCTCAAGCCCTTGCGGATGCCTATGGTAGCCAGTGTTCTTCGCGATACAAGAGCATAGAGGTGGCGATAAAAAAGGACTTACCCGTCGCCGTCGAGAGTGATAGCGGTGTCAGCCAAGACTCGAAGCACGAGACCGACGGTCGCCCTGGCGTGGCAATCGATACCGAGAAGGCAGCTCTCCTCCGCGTCCTGCCTTCCCGTACAGGAAACAACGACGAGGTATCGCGTCCTTCCTGGATGCACCGACTCCAGTTTCACGGCCTGAAAGAAAAACACGACGACGTTTCCGGTTACTCAAAGCCGTCTTTTTAAAGCACAACTCGCATTTAATATAAAAGCACCAGCGAACCAGATAATGTTCTGGCTCAAGTTCCTTGTCGATAGCAAAAAATATAACAAGATACTTATTTCAAATGTCTTCGAATTATAAAGTGACATGTAATTGCGACAGGTTTTTTATTGAAAAAAAAAAAGAGAGAATGAGCTAAAAAATTCTTTACTGCGTAGAAATTTTCTCTCTTTTTTTTTAAAGCTTTTGCACAACAAAATATCTTCACAATAAAACAGACATGAATTTTAAAATAATCTTTGTTTTGAAGTACCAAAAATATATACAATAATTTTTGTAATATCTCCAATACTTCTTGACGTGCTTATTTCGAAATGCAAGTAAAGAATTAATGAGAAAAATAAAGGCGTAACGTTGAAAATAAATTAAACGAAGACTCGGTCGAGTAGTGGTAAACACGTACTCTTCGAATTCCCAGGATGAAATCCCCGTATGGGATTCCGACAGGTTAAACGATTAGACGGACCGTTCATGCAATAATTCCCTCGCTCGATTAAACGCGAAGGTATCATTCGTCGTGATCTCTCGTAACGAGCGATTAAAAGTTTCGCTGCATTCGACGATGCATTCGATGCTCCCACAAACGGACTGTTTAATTACTTTCACCGATCCGTTTATTCTTATCTCACATCGCTTATTTACCGCGGCAAGATTGAAGGGGAATATACCGTGAAAGGGAAAAAGAGGACACAGAGATTTACGCGGGAACGTATAATCGTGCGTATTATCGTATATATATTTGGAATGTAAATCTCGGACGAAATTTTCGAGTCGCACTGATTACAGAAGCAAGGTGTCCAGCAGACTCAACGAAAAAAATTCCCTGACTTTTTTCAGATTTTCCAAGACCAAAAATTAATTTTTTCTCTGACTTTTTAGTCTTATTTTTTCCAAATATATAATTTGCATATATCTATATGATAAATCAATTAAATGTTAAACCATGAAATCCTTGAGATATTTTTGTAAATAATGAAAAGGTTCGGAAGTTTAAACATAAATTTAAATCTATTATACAATTTGCATTATGTACGATAATCGAAACAAACATGTTACTATAAACTATTTAAATAATCACCTTTTTTATTTATATTATATCAAATTTTTTAGTTCTATCTCTATCAAATACATTGAAATAAAATAACACGACGATGGAAATATGAATTAATAAATACGCTGTAAATAAATCGATTTTTAACACAGAACATTAGCGTGCTGGGAGTCGAGGAAAAGTTTATATTTATTTAATAAAAAATTTCCAATTATTGAGACAAATATAGAATAATGTAAAAAAAATCCATATACTTAAATAGTAAAATTTCCTTACTTTTCCGTGACAATTCCAGATTTATAAAATTCCCTGGCAATACCCGGTTTTCCAGATTTCTCAACAAGGTTACATTTCTACGCGTGCTGCGTATATGTACAGGGTGTCCAGCAGACTCGATAAAAAAAATTCCCCAACTTTTTTCAATTTTCCAAGAGCAGAAATTAATTTTTTCTCTGACATTTTAGTATTATTTTTTCCAAATATATAATTTACACGATATAATAACACAACGATAAATATAAATTTATAAACACGCTGTAGATGAATCGATTTTTGACAACACAGAAAATTAGCTTGCTGGGAGTCGAGGAAAAGTTTATATTTATTTAATAAAAAATTTCCAATTATTGAGACAAATGTAGAATAATGTGAAAAAATCCAGATAAATAGTAAAATTTCCCGGACAATTTGAAATTTATAAAATTCCCTCACAATGCCCGATTTCCCTGACCTCGGATGAAATTTTCGAGTCGCACTGATTACAGAGGAGTATGGTGCCGTCCACTTTACGCATCGACTGCGGCCACCACTCGATTCCGCACAATGCGTTGTAAGTGCAACGACTGAAGCGGCTCCCCACGGTAGGCGTCGGCCATGCATTTTTACGATATATACATATAATGCGGCAATTAACGCTTCCGCACTCCCCAAGAAAGAATCCCGACCGCGATAACGCAGACCGGATTTCGTCGGCGATTATATCTCGGCGCGGCTCCGAGAGCGGATGCGATTTTTCTCGAGCAAAAAAAAAAGAAGCAATAAACGCGCTAATCGTGTATACCGACGCATTCGCGTGTAACGCGAAACGCATTCGCGAGCGCTAATAGATGATAAGTGCAAGGTTATAGCCGGGGCTAATTAAGTTTCAATACTTCGGAAGAATAACCGATATGGTTTGACGAATTGGAGCGTAAAGAAGAAAATATACTACAAGAGATATCCTCCCATTTCCCAGCCGAGAATTGTTTCTGCGATGTTACATTTCCGCGTAATTTTATACTTTCCGCGTTGTATTATTATCCTCTAAGTGTACCCAATATTTCACAAGAGAGTATCAATAACATGTAATATAAAAATATATAAACTTTTATAATAGATGTATTTCTAAAAAAACGCAAGTAGAAGAGCTTTCTTAAAAACCCAGTTATCTTGTGTGCATACATTCAGATTATAACAAAACGATCATCATAAATACGAAATAAAGTGCCAAAAGAAAATAAGAATTAAAATAATAATCCTAGGTATAATATAAAAAATACATTACAATAACGAACACTTAACAGAAATGAGATAATAAAATGATAATATTGTAAATGAATAAAATAAAAGATAAAAAAATCTAAGTAGAAATACTCGTAAGCATGTACATATTGTTCCCTACGATGAAGAAAAATGTCAGAGAATCGAGATGATCGCACGTTTACAATATGTATGCAGTTCGCGACATTGAACATTTCCCACTTGTTTGTAAAGGGAGGAAGTAGCCGATTAATACAGTCACGATTTGCCGCTGAACCGTTTCGCCCGTTCCGTTATTAATCATCGAGTGAAACGATTTCCCGATCGCGATTAATAACGCTACGATTACACGATCCGTTCATCCGTGCACGAGCGTGTCTTTTGGAGGCGACACGCCACGAAATCGCAGGAGAAACCCCCGGATCTCTGAGAAAGAGAGAGTGAGGAAATGGCGAAAGTCGTCGACGGAAACGACGAAAAGGGAAAGGCGGAAAGTCGTTGGTACAAAAGTTGGTCTTAAGTCAGCCGGATAACTATTAATTATAAACAATAATAATTAGAGAACGCATTTCTCGCTGAGACGACGCGGCGCGGCGTCGTCCGCGAAAGTCTCATTTTCATTATCGCATCCTTATTACTATTATTATATGGCCGCGAAGCAATTCGTTCCCTCCTTTTGCGAGAGAAACACCCATTATGCCATTTCGTGCAAATCGCACGTAATAAAAATTGCAAAAAAAAAACCGCAATCTTCAACGTTGAATAAGTTTTAAACGCTGACGAAATGTGATTATACTTGATATGTGTTGTGGACACTTGCATTTCCAGGCCCGCAATTACGAGTAGTTAACCTCAATGAATGGATAATTAGCTAATTTACGTTCCTTATAAGATACCATAGACCACACATTTCCTTCCGCAGTTACGATAATCATGTAACATGAGAGACATAATAAATAAAACAGTATTTTCTAGCGACTTTGAAAGTTTCAAAGAAACATTCCATATACGTATTGTGCAATTTTGTCTATATAAAAAATATATAAAATATGTATAAACAAAAATATAAGTGTGTGTATGTTCGTGTATTATATATATTTATTTCTTTAAATAAAATCTAAAAATTCGAGATTATAAAATAAGAGTCAGGAATTAATATCTTTTTCATGCAAACGTGTGGAATATAATTGATCGAAATAAAATACGTCAAAATATTTTTAACGAGTCTTGCTTTCAAAGCCGCGTCGCAATTTCTCAAATCGTCTGTCTAGCATTTCTCTGTGCATCCATCCATTCTGGTTATTGCGATTCAATGATCAGTCAAGTCAACGAGCAACAAGTTTCGTCTATCAATCACATATAGCTCATTCGATGGCGCAAAAAGGTCGAATATCAAAGCCAATCAAGCTACAATTAACGCAATTTGATTCAACTCTTAGGTGCCGTCTAAAGCAATTGAAGCTAAACTTTCAAACGTGTTAAATTAAAGGATTATTTATGATCTTTCAAACATATAAAAATCAAAGAATCTCTGTACATTTCATTAAAAAAAAAATATTAAGAGAATTTAATAACTATTATTTAAATAAAATACTATGTTATTGCATTATTCTCTCTAATCAATATTTAAAAATCAAGAAAGAATCTGCTAAATTTTTTAATTAATAATTATTTTATTAGTAACGTATTATACCTATATTATCACAAAAATAATTTTATGAATAATTACGTAATTAATAATAATAAATCACAAAATTTTAATCAGATATTTTTCTTTCAAGATAAGAGCGGTAGAAGAATATTAATGTGTGTAAACAACACTTTACTTACGCAAATCACAATGATATAGTAAGTCGACGAGTTAAAGAACAATCACGACCGCAAGATTTTTATCTTTTATATATGTGAAACGAATAATTTTTTTCTTGACACTTTCCGACTTTAATTAACACGCGTATCTCGTCAAAGATCTTCAATGCAAAAGTGCTTTAGAATTAATGTACTCACGAAACGCGAGCATGAAAATTAAACAACACGAGAAAATCTTAATGACGAAATAATACAGCATAAACACACGTAGCAAATTATTAAGATCCGCGGTTGACAATTAAAGCCAATCAATTACGCTTTGACGACGTCTCGTATATAAACACGTTGACGTGCTATCTATGATAATCTATCTACGATAATCATCGTACTTTTCATCGTCTAAAAGCAAGATTAAGACGTTCAAGCATCGGGAACGAGAGTGAGTTACTTTTACCACGATGTACGTTATTTCGCATTTCTCTCGATATTTTTCAAACATCACATCATTCTTTTCATTTATGAATTTCATAGCCT